ATTCCACATCCTTGTGAGCATGACTTGTCACTCTTTTTTTAATTGATCTGAGCCATTCTGACAGGGGTAAAATGAAAACTCAAGGTAATTTTGATTTGCATTTCCCTTATTGATAAGGATATTGAACATTTCTTTAAGTACTTCTCTGCCAATTGACTTTCCGATTTTGAGAATTATCTGTTTATATCTCCACTCTCCACTCCATTTTTAATTGGGTTATTTGTTTTCTTGATATATATTTTTTAAATATATTTTGGATATTAGCCTTTCATTAGGTGAGTAATTGGTAAAAAATCTTTTCCCATTTGGTAGGCTGTCACTTTATCCTTTGTCTGGATGACAGTGTTCCTTATCATCCACCAACATTTCAGTTTCATGAGGAATCATCTATTGTTTTTTAGTGCCCGTGTTAATGGTGTTCATAAAGTCTTTTTCTCTGCCAGTGAGTTCAGGGCTATTCCCTATTCTCTTTTATTAGGTTCAGGTATGTAGTTTTGTGTTGTGGTCTCTGACTCACTTGGAGTTGAGTTTTGTGTAACATAATAGTGTGGATCTATTTGCATTCTATTACATGTAGCTGTCTAGTTGGACATTTGAGGAAAATGCCGGGTTTTTTTTTCTGGTGTGTATTTCTGGCATTACATAAAAATATCATATGTCCATAGCCATGTGGGTTTATCTCTGGGTCTTCAATGCCACTGATTAATATGTTTGTTATAGTGCTACTACTATGTGTTTTCATTATTATATCTCTGTAGTACAATTTGAGGTCAAGGGTGTTATTAACTCCAGCAGTCCATTTAGCTATCTTGGGTTTTTATGTTTCTATATAAAGCTGAAAAATCATCCTTTCAAGATTTGTGAAGAGTAGTGTTTAATTTTGATGGGAGTTGCATTGAATCTGTAGACTACTTTTGATGAGATGGCCATATTTATTAATCCTGCTGATCCATAAGCATAGAACATTTTCCATCTTATGATATCTTCTTCAATGTCTTAAAGTTTTTAGTATAAAAGTCTTCCACTTTCTAATTTAGAGTTACCCCATGATATTTTAATTTTGTGGTTATTGTGAAAGGTGTTCTTTCCCCGATTATCATTCCATTTGTCACTTGTGTATAGGAAAGCTACTGATTTTTTTAAGTTAATCTTGTATCCAGAAAGCATTTATTAGCTGCAGAAGTTTCCCAGTGGAATTTTTAGGGCCACTTATGAATACTACCATACTATCTGGAAATAATAATTCTTTGACTTCGTCATTTCCAATTTGTATGTACCTTCTTGATCTCTTTTAGTTGTCTTGTTGCTATAGCTAGGGCTTCAATTGAATAGATACTGAATGAGTGGAAAGCTTGACTTGCTCCTGATTTTAGTAGAATTGCTTTCATTTTCTCTCCATATAAGCTAATGTTTTCTTTGGGCTTACTATAGTCTGCCTTTATTATGTGTGTCTACTGTTTCTCTAAACTTTCCAGGATTTTTATCATGAAGGTTTGTTTGTCAAAGGCCTTTTCTGCATCTAAATGAGTTGCTCATACAGTATTATTTTTCCATCTGTGAATTTATAATGTTTTCAGTTTGTTTATATTTACCAATTTACTTATGTTGAAGCATCCCTGCATCTGGGATGAAGCTTATTTGCTCAGAGAGGATGATGGATGATCTTTCTGATGTGTTCTTGAATTTGATTTACAGGTATTTTATCAAGAATTTTTGCATATGTGTTCATATGGAAAATTGGTCTGTAACTCTCTTCTATTTTGGTGTGTTATTAAGCACCTAGAGCATTTAGGTGTATTGTTAAGTTACAACTATGAGATCTCTCCAATTGTTTAGGCACTAGTGCTATGAACTTGCTTCTTGTAATTGCCTTCATTGTATCCCTTATCTTTCTAACTTTAATTGTGGTATTGTCTTGTTTGTAATAAAACAATTTAGCTATGTTAAGAAAAGTAGAAAAAAATATAGCCCTATCTAAGTCATTTTGTAATTAGGCTAAATCGTAGACTTCTAATATACTCACTTTCCAATGTCAATTAACTCTTTTCCATGCTGTCTTCTGGTAAAGAACATAGTCCTTTTCACATGGAACCTTCATTGACAAATGAGTGTCAATAATGTGATGAAATAAGATACAACTTCAGCAACACTGTAGATTCTTCTTTGAAGTTTGTGTGTGTGCATGTATCTATCTGCGAGATAGAGATGAGAGAGACAGAGAGAGAGAGAGAGAGAGAGAGAGAGAGAGAGAGAGAGAGAGAGAGAGAGAGATTTGAGGGTTTTCTTCTCTTGTTTTCTTTGATGATGTTGTAGCATCTTAAACTAGTGCCCCACCCTTCATGAACTGCCTTACTCTATTGGCTTCAGTGAGCAGCCTTCTTGGTTGGCTTCCTGATTCCCTGATTAATCCTTTGTTTCCTTCACTGGCAATCCTCTTTGTTTCCTTGTTTTATCACAGACACTTCCAAGTTTCAGTTTTTGGCCCTCAGTTCTGTTTTCTGTGTACTTCTTTTTCAACTGTGTCAGTCACTTTTAAAGATACATTCAAGTTTTGGCACAGTATATATAATTTCTGATATTTCCTCATGGATTCTCTGTTGCAACTGAAAATTCAGTGTGTTCAAAAGTCAACTCCCAAATATCTCCACTTTACAACTCTCCCAATAGTTCTGTTTACTTTTAAACAAAGGTAAGATACTGTCTTAATGCATCTGTCTTTGACATATTCTATATTAAGCAGTCAGACTTCAACATTTGTTGGATTTTTAACCCTATTTTATTTCTATCTAGAAACATTGCTATGATAGGATATTTTAAAGAAATTTACCCTTCAAAATCAATGCCAATTGGATCTGAATCTACTTCTATAAAGGGCTGTGTCTTCTGTCACTTGTGATATATTCTATTTCCTACCAAGACAAATTTTAGCTCTTCAACTTGCGTTCAAGGTTTCTACCACCTGGCTCAACAAACCTCTCTCCACTACTATTTTCTGTTTTCCTATGTACAGCTTTGTCTTTCAATGAAACTACCTTAAATGCTGTCATAGAGCCTTCATCTAGCAGCTGATGGAAGCAGAAGCAGAGATTCACAGCTAAACACTACTAAACCGAACTCCTGGAATCCAGTCGCAGAGAGGAGTGATGAGAAAAGGGGTCAAGACCATGCTTGAGACACCCACAGAAACAGCTGACCTGAGCAAGTGAGAGCTCTCAGACCCCAGATAGACAGCCGGGGAACCAGCATAGGACTGAACTAGACTCCCTGAATGTGGGTGACGTTAGGAGCCCTAGGTAGTCTACAGGGCCTCTTGTAGTGGAAACAGTTTTTATACCCAGTGCATGAATGGACTTTGGGAGACCGTTCCTCCATGGAGGGCTTTGATGATTTCCCCATGCAAAGCCTCACTCTCCCTGTGGAGTGGATGAGGGGTGAGATGGGGGAGTCATTGGGGGCATAGGAAGATGGGAGGGAACTGGGAATGATGTGTAAAGTAAGATTATTTCTAATTTAAATAAAAATAAAAAGAAAGATGTTTTATTGTTTTGTTTTGATTTTTTTTCTTCAGAGAACATGGTACATTCATTGATGGTTGACCTATCTGGCACCTTCTTTCATTTTTTATTTGTGAATCTGAGACTTGTCTTTCAAATCTCACATCCAAATAGTAAGGAAACTTTATAAACATGGCCTCTGAGTTTGTTAACTCTTTAATAAGAGGTAGAGGAACTTCTCTTGAAGCAGGAGACATATTTAATATAACGGTGAACCTTTGTTTTTAAATTAATATACAAAAAATATGGTAGATCACTAGTACTTGCCAGAATAGTTTCCTCTCTCAGATTCCTAATCATCCACATTATTTCATTACCCCACCTGGTCATTTGGAAACACATAGTGTGCTTCAGAACTTATGGATAAATGGCACTACCTTCTCTTTTTAAATTATTAACTTACCTTTCCAGTGAACTCCTATGAAAAAAGAATAAACATCAAATCATCAAAGTTTTGATTAAGGGGGAATAATTTCATAAGTCTGGCTCTAAATTTATTCTAATTTATTAACAGGAAACACCTGAAACTAGTTGCTGTCTGGCTTATGGACTATGGCTTTCCCCTCTTTCCATTTAAATGCAGGCGCAGCTTTGGTAAATATTATATTCACTTATATTTAGAAATATAGCATTCTTTGTTTCCATAGTTGGCTGAAATTATTTAATTAAAGGGGATTTTAATTTGGAAACAAGATATTGTGAATTAAATGAGTTATAGATGCAGGGAAATGATTGCAGTTATACTCTGGGTGTTCTATAAGCTATGGAAAATCTCCTCAGTATAATCTTAATATAATCATTAAACTGAAAAGTTTTTTTGAATTATAGGAGTGAATTTTTACATTGCAGTTATAGCTGAGGATTGTATGTTCTCTCAGCCTTTTCACATTAAGTTTCTTTTACTTAATCTTAGATTTTTTTCAGACACTTACTGTACTAAGAAGTTTAATTTTCAGATATCACAAAATGAATTGAAATTGCAGTGAAATCTGAACCTTAAGTCACAGTCGTTTGATAGATCTGCTATAGAGGAATCTTCTGCTAATAAAATACCCAGAGAATCAATTAACCACACAAATAGTACACAAACATACCTACAAAAACTGAAACAGAGTTATTAGACTACTTTAGACAAGCTTTTTCAAATCCAGTCTTCCTATTTTTACCAACTTAACATAGGAATAAATATTGCTATTAACTTAGTGTGTACTTCAATTAATTTTTGTGCACTTATGAATCCTTGTAGGACATATGTAACACCATTATATTTCTTAGCTCTATATATAATTGTACAAGACATGGTTGTCTTTCTTAGTAATTCTATGGTGTGATAACGTACCATGAACAAAAAAATTGAGGAGGAAAGAGCTTACTTCTTACACTTCCAGATCCATGCATCTGAGGGAAGGTATACTTAAATGGTCATTTTCTCTGAAGACTACTCACAAAATGTTCCCATTGGCATTTTCCTTTACAGATCTTTATTTCCACATCTTGTATAACCGTTTCCACTTCTTTGTGTTAGATGACATCGGTAAGTGTTATCTTCAGCAGTGAAGACGTATTATCAGGTTGTGGAGAACAACCAGTTGCTTTGACAGTACCCTGTGGTGTTTGAAAGAGTCTATGAGAACTCTTGGCCAACAACTCAACAACAAGCAATTCATTCTTAGCGGTGGAGTCTTTACTTTATCACATTCAATGTCTAATAGGAGCATAGTCACCACTATTACATACATATATTAGGAAGCTTCTGCTGTAATAGATTTGTGTATGTTTTTTCAAGCATCTGTTAGTGTTACTTGTCTCTCCCCATATTCCCTTCTGTAGCCTTTCTCCCATCTCCTTCCCTGCTTAACGCTCCTACTCTAGTTTGCTTTCGTTTCTCTGAATACTATACATCACTCTTCCTCCTTGGGAGAGCCTCCCCACACCTGGTCCCTTATTAGGTGCCTAAACTCTGTGGTTACTAGGACTGTAGCACACATATCAAAAGCTTAAAAGTTTGCATCCAAATATAAAACAAAATATAAAAAAGTTATTTGTTTCAGTTTCATCATACAGTATGACTTTTTTTCCTAGCTCTATCCACTTATGCATTTGTTTTTTAGACAGAGTTTCTCTGTGTAGCTTTGTAGACCAGAGTGGCCTCAAACTCACAGAGATTGGCCTGTCTCTGCCTCTCAAGTGATAGGGTTAAAGGCATGTGCTACCATCCCCCACTTAACATAGGAATAAATATTGCTATTCACTTATGCTAATTTCATATTCTTAACAGATGAATAATATTTACTTGTGCAAATGATGACATTTTATTTACGTTTGACATCTAGTCTGTTTCTAAATTCTGGATATTCTTTATCAAGCCTTTTGCCACAATAATGAAAAAATAATAAAAACAGTTGTGAAAATAAATGCAAGAGTCACAGGAAATGAGGAAGTGTTTGTAACTATTTCTTCAAGATTAGAACACACTTTCATAGAGAAAGAAACACGTTTCATGAAATTACAAGACTCCTGAGTCTCTTCCCTTGGGTTATACAGCCACAAATAACTATGAAGTGAAGACTCTTTGGTGGTATACCTGGCTTCAAGTTGTATGGGGAAATTTAGCAATACTACTCTTGTCATCATCCAAGCTGATGTATATGACATCTTAGTGATGTAGCAGTCCATATTACCCATGTCCCTGTAAGTAACCTCAGGAAACTGTTTTGCCAAGCTAGATTTGGATAAAAATTGTTCCATTCCTATGTTGTTGCTCATTTTATTTGAAGTTTCTCTCTAAGTATAAGACATATGATTTGCAGAAAAATCATATGGTACCATGGAGAAGTCTCACTTGCTGACTCCTTACTCTTTTACTTTATCCTGCATGTGCTCCCTCCAATCATTCTATATGTTAATACCGTCTCATTGTCTACTAAATATTTACCTAGTCTAATTATCGACTTCTCCATTTACTTGATATGGACTGGATGCATATTGGCTCTGTCCCTGCCGGTAATAAATAACAGACCTGACATCATTACAGAGTAGCTGAACAAGACACTATCCAAAAGAATTTTCAGCAACAGAGTGATATTTCTGTTAGATGGACACAATTAGAATAAACAACTATTTCTTTTCTGACATGGTGAGATATTCTGTTTGCATAAGTAAAGTGTTTCTTGTTCTAAAACCGTCATTACTGTCACATCCAAAGAAAACTTCAAGTAACTGTCAAAGAAAAAGATGGAAAAAATGCCTCTCCACTTGACTCAGATTTAAGGCAGACATCACGGTGCTTTGAGAATAAAGTGTTTAGTCAGGTGTCTAGTCTGGTCTTCTCCAACAACTAATATCCCTAGATATTTGCTTTTTTATGCACCCTTACATTGGTACCACAGGAAGTGATCTACTTTCTAAATCACCTAAATTGTAGTTATAAAATATTGAATAAAGATGTTTAAACTAATGTGCTGCTCATAATTCTAGTGGAGCAATAACTTCCCATCATCCCAAGCAACTTTCAGACACATATTAGATTGCAGAGTGATCATGGTCTTATAGACAGTAGTGCTGTTCAAAGAATGTGCTTAACATGTTGAATTCTAGGCAAGCACCCAGATACTGTCCTTGCCATCAGTTCATTGAGGGAAAATACTATGATGATTTAACTGGTATTTGGATGAGGTTTTCAATAGTTCTCTTATCTTACTCTTCTATAGGCCATAGGATATTCATTTTGTTCCATGCTAGCCAGCTAAACTCTTCTGTCTTCTTCTATTTAATTGCCTGATTTAACAGTATTTTCATGTAGTTATTTGAAAATTTCCCTCTCCGTTGAATATTGTTCAGGAGCATTTGTAAAGGGAGGAAGTAATGCCTTTGCCTTTGTGGTGAACTGATGAGAACACTTCAGATTTTTAATCAATTAACTCTAAAAAAAACCTTCAGGATAGTTTTTTTTTTCAACACAAATTTCACAATGCATATGAACTCCTAATTTTTTGTTGTGTCCTTACATTTCAGATTCTGCCTTCAACAAAGAATAAGACAAAGATAAAATGCACAGGAAAATAAAAAAAAACAGCAGAAAAGACCACAGATTTCTCTACTTTTATATCTGTTCTAAGCTTATGTTATCACGTCTGATTTCTTTATTTATTTAAAAAATGGTTTCTGTGTATGACTGCCTCGTAAGTATGTGTATGTGTGTACCACATGCATTGCCTGGTGCCCACGGAGACAAGAATAAGGAGTGTGACCCTTTGAAACTGGAGTTACCATCAGTTGTGAGCCTTTGCATGATATCGAAAACCAACCCAGTGTCCTCTGCAAGGATAGTGTAGTCGCTGAGCCATCTCTACAGTCCATCTTTTAATATTCTTGATTATCTTATATATCCATAATGTTATGTATTTTCAGCTTATAGATGGATATTCACAGGTATTTTTGACTTGTAAAATAATTTTTCCCATTTGACATAACTTTTATTTCAAAATGGGCATTATAATGGCTATCCTTGATTGTCAACTGAATTGAATTGAGAAATACCTGGGGCATGAACAGTATACACACTTGATGTGCCTTTAAGGGTGTTTGAGGATTGAATTCACATGTTGGATCAATAAACTGAGGAGTGGTTGCCTCCTGGAATGTGAATCACAGCGAAAAATAGGTTGTTATGCTAGAGGGCAAATGCAAGAGGAAGAAGAGACTTAGATAAGTAAGCTTTCTAGAGGGAGAGAATTTGCTTTGCTGCTGGAATGGGAATTCTGCCCCAGGACTTTCAGTTTTGTGCAGTGACTGTCCAGGAAACTCAGAGTCCTTCAGCCTAGAATTGGGTTACATCATTGGTCTCTGGTTCTTAGACTAAAAAGACTACTTTCCAGCTTACAAAGGACCATTGTGAGACTATATACTGATCAGGTAAACCAATGTAATAAATCTCTTTTCATTAGTACATATATATTCTACTGGTTCTATTTCTCCAGAGTACCTTAACAAAGAACTTATAAAAGAATTTTCAAAAGGAATATGTGGTTCACACGTGTAGTAATGAAATCACCATGCTAGAATTATATTATTGTATATAGAGAGGTTTACAGGACCAAACCCCAAAAATTTTAAAAGTACATTAACGATTTTCAAAATAAAATGTGAAATTAACCTAACATTACTAAAGGTTACTGTATGTTGACAGAAATTACCATGTTACAGTTATGAGACTGATTCTGATTATGGATAGAAAACATCCATTATTATCTAATTTATACTATGTTTATTATTGACAAAGTTTATGGTTAAATTTATTGGCTTATTAAGATCCTTACTTTTATTAATATTTAACATACCCATTTTATATGTTTTTTAAAATCCCCAAATTCAGGCACTGACAGTGTTACCTGACTGCTTTAAAGCATATGCTACACTGTGATGGGTAAGACAGGTCTGCAAGCTCCACAGCTATTGATAAAACGAATTTGTTTCCAAGAGTTACTATTGATTTTGAATTCTGGATTTAGGCATATATGGTTATGGCCTATTACATTGATTGCTCTAAAAGCTGTGAAGTAAAATTTCACCTTTGTTTGTGCCTTGTTGCTTGTTAGCCTATGAATTGTATTTCACGACTTAGTCTATCTGGAGTGGTATCAAAGAATGGGAGGATATGATGCCAAGAATTGAAAGTTGGTACCCAGTTTTTCTAGGACATCGTTCAATGTTTCTTTTGGAATATATGGTCATTTTCACTCAATTGTTGTTGAGGTGAGAAATGAAAATGATTAAGGACTTAGTTAACCTGATATGCTTTCAATAAAATGTTAAAAATAATTAATTATGTAGTTTATAGATGCAAGTAAAGGAAGCAAAGGAGATGTATAAAATAACTTTATTCATCAAGGACTCCTATACAGTAAAAAAGCATTTACTCACAACACAGATCATTCCTTTGTTTAAGAATTAGGATTGTTGGATAATAATATAAACGATGATATTTGATAGATTGGAAAGTGAAGATATACACCCCTTTTAAAAGGACTTTATTAGGAAACCAGAGGAGCCAGGGAGTCCAGGGAAGCAGCTGGATCAGGTACAACAGGATCCAGCAAAGGGTCCAGGGGACCAGGTGGGAGGCTAAGCGCCCCAGATTCCTGTTCTTCTTCTCCACTCACAGGACCAGAACGAGGACAAGGACTAGAAGAACCACCAGATTATTGGACTTGCTAGCACCCACCAAAAGGGAACTCTGGTCCCCTAACCACCAGACCAGTAAGGGGCTCTTTCTGCACCCACTAGAAGAAGAGATGGGTAAGAGACAATACAAAAACACACTCAGCAACAGAAAAACAAATATGACACCACCAGATTCTAGAGACTCCACACCAGCAAGACTCCAACATTCCAATGCGAACGAAGCAGAAGAGAATGACCTAAAAACCACTTTCATGAAAATGATAGAGGTCCTAAAAGAGGATATAGGAAAATCCCTCAAAGAAATGGAAGAAAAAACAAAGCAAAAAATGCAAGAATTGGAAGAAAAAACAAAGCAAAAAATGCAAGAATTGGAAGAAAAAACAAAGCAAAAAATGAAAGAAATGGAAGAAGAAACAAACCAA